TATATATATATATTATGTTCCGAAAGCAGAGACTACATTAAATGAATGTACCGTATTCAAAATCTGCTGTCCTCCCCAGTTACATTTCTATTTAGGTGTCAAATTTCAGGACAAAAGGCTTTGTAATCTATCTAATTCTTCATATTCACACACACTTTGTACACGGTAAAGTTATCAAGTCAGGAGCAACCAGCCGCCTTTAGAAAGTCTTTGTCTCTAGACTGAACGAGATGAGACTGTGAAGACGTCAGTGTCACTGGTCTTAACATATCAGTTAAGGCTTTGACTTCAAGAGTCGCTTGGGTGATAAGATGGATAGGCCACATCTCAAACGGAATGAAGGGAACCACGTCCAACGTGTGTTCGGAATGTGAAAACTCTACAGCACTGAATCGGCTCATGCACTCAGCTGTTCGAGTGGCGGACGGAAACCAGGCTTTTTGACAGCCCGCACAGAGTATGTTGTGGCACTTGTAATCAGTCAAGAAATGGAACAGGTCGCTGTGAAAGGCATGTGTCAAGGCTTGTTTAAGGCAGCTGTGGATGTCTTGAAAAGTACCGACTGCGTACTTTGGCAAGTACAGAGACTCCAGTAGAAACAACAAATTGTTTGAAGAAGTTGCCCCGATCGGTGTTGTAAAGTTTGAATCTTGATCTACCATTTCTTCACATGTTGACCAGGATAAATTTGTGGGATGTGACAACCTGAAACACATATTTGTGGTGAAGTTGGAGTTTGTGTCTTCTGCTTCCATGAGTGTACTGTCCACATCCAGCATCTTTGACCTCGTTGAATTGCATATGAAGAAATTTGAACCGGCTACATCTTCACACGTAGAGCACGACGAATAGTCCATTGCACCCTCATCCTCACAGTCCCACGTTATTGGATCGTGAGCAGAAATACCAAGAAGCAATCGATCACGGGCCGGCGTGAGGATAAAGTATTGCATAGTACCAGCCAAGTTGCGCATACTTTCTCTTAGAGATAACACTCGTGTGTTTCTCAGATAATTCTGGAAAAAATCGCACACACCTGGATACCATTTTTCCCTAGACTTTTTATTGTTTGTAAGACACTCTCGCGACACACGCTGACTTAGACTTTGGAATAACCCCGAACAGGCAGACTCCAGTACAGACATCGAACAGCAAGGGTCTAATACCACGATGTTGTGTGTTTCCCGCCAAACACAGCCAGGAAACCGAGTTACCTCCCCTGCCCATACAAGCCAGCGGCCATCTCCAAAAAAGAACACAACGGACGACAGCTCATGTTTTTCAAATTCGTTCAGATCCCAGATGATCTGGAAGCTGTACCTTGGATGTACGTTATCTCTCAGGTTCTCTTGGACACCGTCATTCCAGATACCTGCCGCCCAGCAATGGATGTTGCTCGAGAGATTCATAAAAGCTGCTGTGGGCCGAAGAGTTAACTGAACAAATTCCGGGAAACACAAAGCGATGCGGGTCAAGGGCTGCATTAGGAACACTGGCAGCTCCCACGACGTCTTTGGGTACAGCCCGGAGGTGTCGAAACTGAAGTCATCATTTAGATGGTCTTCAGGGGGGACGCTATTCCTGAAATTGTCCGATATATTGGGGAAGATCGAAGTGAGAGCTTGAGATAGCCACATCTGACGACAATGTTTGAAGACAGAGAGCAGCAGGAGATGACAGTCGCGCGGCAGGGGCGATGTGTTCCTATGGTTCTGAGGCCTCAGGTCTTGAAAAGTAAAATGGGTCAGTTCTGTGAGAGGGGGGAAGCTTTGGGGCAGCCAACTGCAGTTGACATCTTTCTCTGTAAATGCAGAAAAGGAGAAAGTTCAAAGATTAATCATGAGGAATAAAAACCTCACAAAAGCAAAAGTTGCTGGCTACGTTGTAAAAATCCGGGGTAGCGACAATAACTGCAATAACAACAATAACAACAACAACATCGACGACGACGACGACGACCACGACGATGACAGCAACACCAAGTACAACTAGAACAACAGCACAAGAACAACAAAAGTCACAACAACAACACAAACGAGAGCAACAACGACAACAGCAACAGCGATAACAACACCAACACCTACAACAACAACAACAATGATAACAACAACAATAAAAACAACAACAAACCTGCTTTTCTGTAATATCATTCAAGGGTTAAAGTTAAAATTGAAAAATAAATTGAGTAAACACTCATTACCACGTACAATTAGATAGGTAGTCAACTTTGTAAGTGTCATAGAATATATGTTTAAATGGGAGTCAACACGGTGTTTGTTACATTATAATGCATTACTGCACTGCGCGCATTGCCGTCTTCCTGAATATCACTATCTCTATATTCTTACACTCGTAATGTATCATTGAAACTTTAGAAAACAAGTTTTATTCCCCATTTCAGAACCGTCACGTCCTGTAACTTAGTACCGTATACCTTTCAATAGTTTTTACTTCTCTTTAATTTGTTATTCTCGTGTTGCCTGAAGAAAATAATCTAAGGCAGTTGAGCAGTAAAGATGGAATACATGATGTAATTATTTTCAGACGAGATCAACATAGCCTTTAAGCATTATGGAAGCCAGAGAAAGATGCCCTCGACGAAAAACACTATCGACTATCTCTGAAAAGGGTAAAAATGTATAGAAAGAACACTATTGTGTGTGTGTGTGTTGTGTGAGTGTGTGTGTGTGTGTGTGTGTGTGTGTGTGTGTGTGTGTGTGTGTGTGTGTGTGTGTGTGTGTGTGTGGGTGTCGAAGTAAATGAATTGTCCAACCTACGCGACTTCGATAAACATGTCAATTTGGTAGCACAAAAAAACCTAAAACAACCATATTTTAAAAAAAATTTTTTTAGATTATTAACACTACAATAACATAAAAGTTCAGTTGTAAGACAAAAAGAAAGGAGGCATGGGAAGCTCCGAAACTAAACATCCAATTCTTGGAAAAGGAACCCTTAAACAAACCCGACTCTCTCATGTGGTACAAGGCGCAAAAATGTACATGTATTATGAAGTCATATGTGTATTGAAGCACAGAAAGATCTGTATTTATGCTTCATAGATTATTCAAAGGCGTTCGATAAAGTTAGACATGATGAGCTATTTAAAATACTGGAAAAGCTAGGCATAGATGGAAAAGATCTAAGAATTATCAGAAATTTGTACTGGGACCAAAACGCTGCTCTACGAATTAATGGAGAATACAGTGAATATAAGCAGATTAGGCGAGGAGTAAGGCAAGGATGTGTTATGTCACCAGACCTCTTTACCATGTGCAGTGAAACAATCCTTAGAAACATAGAAGAATGTCCAGGCCTCAAAGTAAATGGAGAAAATATTAATAACATCAGGTATGCAGATGACACGGTTTTAATAGCAGGCTCCGAAAAGGACCTTCAATTGCTTCTAGATACTGTTGTAAAAGAAAGTGAACGTATAGGATTATTGTTGAATGTAAAGAAAACAGGATGCATGGTAATATTCAAAAAAAGCAGCAAATCCTAGTAGTAATCTCATTAGCAAAGGTGAAAAGATCAAACAAGTCCAACAGTTTAAATATCTAGGATATATGATACCATCTGATGCCAAATCTTCCACAGAAATAAAAAGGAGAACTGCAATGGCTAAGGATAGTTTCAATAA